AGAGAGAGAGAGAGGTGCACGCGCCGTGGAGTGGAGGGAGGACCCCTCCCCCACCAACCAATCAATCAATCAATCAATCAATCAAACAATCAATCAAACAATCAATCAATCAATCAATCAATCAATCAATCAATCAATCAATCAATAAAAAAAAAACAGTCAATCAATGAAATTTTTTTTTTCTATTTATTTAAGTTTTTTTGGTAGTCTTCGAAACCCACCCCCCCGTTCTCGATGTTTTTATGTTTTTTTTTTTGCGAGGAGGTAGGGGGACCCCCCCCGACTCGAAACCCGTTCCACGCCCCCCAAACCCCCTCCCCGATCGGCCGCGACCTCGACCGAAATTATCGGTCGCGGCCGGGGGGGGCCCGGCCACGGCCACGGCCGAACTCGGCCGCGGTCAGGGGGTAACATAGCTTAAGGGGGCAGGCAACGTCCCGCTTGACGAGCCCGTTCAGAGTTCGGATTCGTTACCCACTCCTGCGCCTGTGACCGGCCCAACCTCGCATCACGGTGTTTTTAGGACAATGGATCCTTTACAAAATTTGCACAACATTGCAGCTCTGAGTCCAGGCACCACCTCATCATCTGCGGCCGGCGGCGGGGTGTGGGATTCATTAGGTTTCGGCCCTGGTGTACGAGTGAGGGGTACTTACAGGCAGAAGGCGGTGACCTCGTATTACAACGACCCATTTGAGCACGCATGACGCCTGCAGATCATGCGATTCATTGTCGATAGCGGCATGCCATTCAACTGTGTGAAGCTCGTCCGGGGTTCCCGGAGTGCCCACCCCTAAGTCCCCGATGTATCACATGATCAGTACCACACTTTTGGATGAGCTTGATGCGGAAGTCCAAAAGTGTGTGAAACCTATCCTCGCTACTTCGGCTACCTATGGTTGCACGATTATGACAGACGGTTGGACCAACATTCGGGGCCAGACGTTGTGCAACTATCTCGTCGAGGCCACACGGGGCACCACATACGTCGCGACTGATGTTATGCGAGGAAAGAAGGATGCCACTGCTCTGGCGCAGGCTTGGCTGTGAAGATTGAAGTCCCTTGACATCAAGCTCGCACACATCACCGCTTTCGTCACAGACTCGGCTAGTTCGAACGTTTCTGCGATGAAGGTGTTCCAGAAGGATGAGAGTGTTAAACACATCTTCTGGATTCCTTATGTGGCGCACGTCATGGACCTCATCCTTGACGACATCGGCGGCATTAAGTGGGTGGCGACCCGCATTGCTCAGGCGCGGTTGGTCACAAAAATTTTCAAGCGCCATAGTCATGCTTGTGAAGTCTTGCAAACTTTCACGACGATGGCAGTGTTGCTTCCCGCCGAGGCTCGCTTCGGCACGCATGTCATTATGATGCGGCAACTTCTTCTGCTGCAATCACATCTTATGCGGGTGGTCATTGATGATCGATGGAAGGATACCGTTTGGTCAACAAAGAAGATTCGAGACGACGCCGTGGAGGTCACAGCATGTGTCCGTTGTCCTCGGTGGTAGGAGGATATGAGAGCGCTGTGCAAGTTGTTGGATCTCATCATGGACATGCTGCAGATGGTGGACAGCGATACGCTATGTGTCCGAAATTAGATTCAACGGCGGTTTCCCGTTGAACGGTTCAACTCTCGTTGAACCTCCGTTGCAACTCCGCGCTAAACCGCGTTAGAATGGGGTTCAACACGACCCACGAAATTTCTTTTCGCTAGCAACAAATTAAAAAA